TAGTGCCTCTCAATGGCCACAAATGGAGCAATATGATCATCAATGCATGTATTTTTCTTGGAGTTGGGAACACGGTTAGGGATAAGTGGCTGTTGAACCCATTGGATTTACAGCCTTTCCCTCCCTGCCCACTCACATGACCCTGACACACCAATCTCCTGTCCCCTTTGACGAGATCACAGTTTTGACTTCATTGAAAGTCACTGAGAAAATTTCTGAGATGGTTGGGTGGAGCCGAAGTAAAGCCACCAATATAAAAACACAAACAAAGCACAGCAACATGAAACAACCAACTTCCCCACGTCAGCAGTTAGGGCTTGAGGTTTTTTTTGTTAAATCAGTCCTATGACCGTAAGAACGCTGTCTAGGAACAATAGTTCTGCTGTCTAAGTTATATTATTTCCACTTTTCTTGAGCAGGGTGAGCAAATGTCTGCAATAATTAGCTGACATTTAGATCCAGTTTAAAGCTTCTAGTTAAGTAAATGACAAAGCAGCTCATAAATGTACCATATGTACATAGTTTCATAAACATGAAAAGACTACACTAAAGGCTTGTTTTCTATGTCTGGTGATTCTAATAAAATCTCTTGACATTGCAGAAAAGCTGAGATTCAAAAAATGGTAGCCTGAGATTTCAAGAACTAGGTCTACTACTAGGAGAAATATTATTTACCATTCATTCACGGGAGCACATCCATGAAGCTTAGATGAGCTTCAATTCTCAAAATGCTATACAGCATTTCATAAAATTACTAGGTGGTGCTATGTAGCATAAACACAGAGACCAACAAACTAACAATGGGGCATTTTTCTGCACTGAGTATGTCAGCATATATAATTTATTTCAGCAACAGAACATGCAACTATGGTTTCACTTATTTAGCTGATGAAGTAACTTCAAAACATCAGAAATGATATATCGACAAATGTTTATTTCAAATTATCTATGTGTGCAATATGATAAACACAAGTATAACTACATAAATTGGCCTACATGCAGCAACTGATAGCAATGATGACATAGTTATATACATATTATGATGCATAAGCGTGCACATCTAGCAAGAAAAATAAACCCCTTACTTAAACACAGAGACGTTTAAATTTCCAGAGGGTTAGCTTTGTTCATTTGATACAGCAAAAACAACCTAGTATTGTGGTAGTATAAAGAATAATAAAACCATTGTTTGTTTATATTTCTATTCCACCTTTTTCTTTTTTTAAAGAACTCAAAGTATCTTTACATTATTCTCCTCCTGCTCTCAATCTTATCCCCACATTATCAGCCCTGTGAGGTAGGTTGGGATGAGAGTCTGTGATTGGCCCAAAGTCATCCAGTTAGTTCCATGGCTGAGCAGGGATTAGAACCTGGATTGAGTTCCTGACCCATGCTCTTAACCACTATATCACACGGTCTGTCTTTGGTATCATAATGGTATTATCTAGACCATGAAAATTATTCCATAATAAATCTGTTAGTGTACAGTGTGCCGCAAGATTCCTTGTTCTTTATGCAAATTACAGACATGCATGTGAAGTCTAAAATAGCTTAAATTTAGTTTTGCCTTATGATAGGTTTAGTAGCAAAGACAGATCATCAGTCTAATTTGGCAAACCACAGGTTGTTATAGTAATCTACTAAGCTTTTTTTTCTGGAAGGACAGATCTAAATATGTTAAATTTATTAGTAAAGCCTTACACAAGTATTTGTTTAGTCTGATCTAAAGGAAAAGATAAAGAAGCTGTTAAGCACAGTGAATGCCTTTGTAAAGGGTAAACAGTACTTTCAATTGTACTCTCTGGGAAAAAAAACCTGCACACATCTACTACTTCCCCAGTAATTTTATCAGGAAAACAGAGGCTCAGATCTGGCAGGTAGAAGCTACAGCTTATTTACTGTAACCAATGATTTGAAAAGATGCCAAGGCACATTTACATATTCATTACTTCAGCAGAAATGGAGGCATCATGATTCTCATCAAAAATAGTCATCTACCACAAGTGACTAATATCACCTTTTTGTTAGCAAGAACAAACTACACCCCCTTTAGTAACAACACATTCATCTATTAGTGTCTCTAAAAAGCAGAAAGACACTTGTTTTGTAATGTAATGTTTGGACTAGAAAGGAATACTCTCAAACCCTGCCATTGGAAAAAAAAAAGTTAGCAGACATGGGGCATTTTCTCTCTACGATGCTGCTTCATATTGATGCATTTTAACTAGAATCCCATTCATGAGACATTAATTCTTACTTATATATTTGGGCAAAACCCTATGTCTATCAGGAAAAATATAATTGTAATGCAAGTTGGTATAATTATTTTAGTTAAGAATGAAATCAGTTCTATTTTTTTCAGTCTTTGCCATTCATTTCTCAGATTATTTTCAGTTGTGCATGTCTATATTTCTTAATATTAGAGCAGAAGAACAGGCAGGAAAGTTTAAGGAGGTAAACATGTTTAGCATGGAGAACAGAAGATTAAGGAAAGACATGAAAGCAGTCTTTAAATAAATAAAAAGCTGTCATGCAGAAGATGGTTCTGTTGCTCCAGAGGTCAGGAACAAAATGATCAGATGAAAGCATCAGGGAAGTGGATAAAATTAAGAGGAACTTTCTAATGTTAAGTGCTGTTTGACAGTGGAACAGATGACCATGAGAGGCGATGGGATCTCCTTTAAAGGAATTGTTTAAACTAAGGCTGTTGCTGCACCCTGTGCTGCATATCTGAACTAACCAGATATTAGACTTCATGACCTTCAAGAACCCTTCCAACTTTTTAATTCCATGATAATACTGTAATGGTATAAACCAAAACTATTCACTTGATTTTATGTATCTTCAGTCTTTGCTTGAACTACCATATGAATGTGTTACAGAAAAGACTGGAAAAATTAAGTTGGAATGTGACTTTAGCTGATAAATGTTTTTCTTTTACTTGATTATTTTAAATTGTTTAAAGCATATCACAGGTATAATAGAATTGTATGCCCTGTAACAGAATGAAGAAATAGAATATTGCAGGACACAGTTAACATTAACACACAATTTTCCCTCTTCATAAACTCTTATCTTCATGCAAACTCATACTGAATGCTACATTTTAGAAACAAAGCTTAGTTAAGATCGTTCCATCAGTTAAATCATCAGCATAGTGTCTATTACTGGGGTTCCCAACACAAGGAACATGGGCACATCTGTGCTTGGAAACTCCTCCCTTCATGCCCAACATGTTCCTTGTCCCTCCTAAATGTAAACATATTTTAAAAGGCACAAACCAATGCAAGTTTAGATAGGAAAAGGGGCCTACAACTCCTAGAGTGTCCCAGCCATCCATCTAAACTTGCATAGGATTGCACCTTTAATTTTTTTTTCTTAAAGCGTTTGTTAAAACTAAGTAAATAAAATTGGGAAGCTTGTGCATTGCAAAAGAAAGCTCTTGTCTCCAACATCATCCATAGTTTCAAGAATGTCTCTGGGCCTGATAGACATTCTTTAAAAAATATTTTAAAAGGTGGGCAACCTAGCATTTTAGTTATTATTATGTCCAGGCAATCAGTCAAAAGGAAATAGGGTAACGTGGGAGTAGTGAGCAGCTTTGTATGGGCAAGTGAGGGTTTTAGGACTGTCCTGGAGGCTAGAGGAGACGGGGAAATGAAAAACATGTTTTTGGATGGTGATTGTTTCTCATGTATTAATTGGTTTGTTTTTGGTGTGATATGTGGTTTTGTTTGCTGCTGAGGGTATTTGGGGTGTTTTGCATACATGTGTGTGCTTCCTTCAGCATCGCACTCTCCTTTGGGATATTTTGTTATGCTTTGTTGTGGGGGGCGCAAATATGCAATCTATTATTTGGGACTGAGATCTACCTCTATCTTGTGTTTGGTTTCTTGGACAAGTTTTTCTTCTTTTAGCTTGACCATTTTGAGCACAGACTAGATCTCCACCCCCATAGTGATCATTTTGGGAGAATGGCCAACATTTCTAACGTGCCCAATGACTCATTCTCTATTTTGATAATATACTCCAGTGTCCTCTGAATCTCTCTGTTCAACCAACTTCCTTTTCTAAATACTGTTGTTGTGAAATGACTAGCACTGGCCTTGTAGTTAAATCCATTTTTATATTTACTGGATACACTTGGGCATTGTCAATCTAATCCAACTCACAGGAATGTTGCAAGGCTAATTCATAGCCTTATGGTCATTTGGGGCATTACCCTGAAATCTGATTGAGAAAACATCTCAAAAGTTCTTGAGGAAGCATGAAGAGCCTCCCTTGCAACATTGACCATAAATACACACACTGGGGATTTAATACCGGTTCTAGATTTGAGGATGTAACAGAGCCCTAGAAATCAAACTTTTGAGCATGAGCTCAATTTTATGGAAAGTTAGGTTAATGAAATTCTACACGCATCGTGCATGTTGGAAGTATTTTTGTGTACGTTCTTTTCAGCTCCTATGCTGCTTTTGTGTTGAGCACGAATTTTCGTTTTAGCAGAGAAAGAGATAGAACTCAGAGGGTGTAAAGTGTGAACGGGTCCACTGGAGAGCGTTTCTCTTCCTCCGCTACTCCTGTTGTTGTCAGGGGTAAAGAGCAGAGTGCGGCCCACTGCCTCTGTTTTTGCTGGGGGCTACGGGCAGCGCGTGAAGAGTCAGAAGCGGCCTGCACATTCCTGGCTGCTTTGTGCTGAGGCTGGGAGTGCCTCTGCAGTTCGCCTACCTAGTCGTCTGATTGCCAAATGTACACATACCCACGCAACTCCTCTAACGAATTATAAGGTACGGGACACTCCTTAACTAGAATGGCCTCACTTCACTGCTTGAGCAGAAACGGAAAAGCGGAGAGAAAGATCTACGTTTTCTCCCCGTGGTTTTAAAAATGAAAAAGGTGTTGAAGAAGAAGCGTCCTCCTCCGTGCGCAGCCATTGTTTGGAGCGGTGTGTGTGTGTGTGTGTGTGTGTGTGTGTGTGTGTGTGTGTGTGTGTGTGTGAGAGAGAGAGAGAGCGAGCGAGCGAGCGAGCGAGCGAGAGCGCGAGAGCGCGAGAGAGAGATCAGGGTGTGAGCACGTAGGGTGAGCGAGAGTGCATGTGCCTGGCTGGCATTTTCTCCGCGTCTCAATTGCTTGGTAGGCTGGGAGTTTCTGTACCGGGCTCAATAGGTGGGTGTGAGCTGGTAAATAAGTGAACGAGGGAGGCCGCCCTCGGCTTGGAGTCCGGCCGCTCTCCCTTTCTCCGGGTGCAAGTGCAGCTGGGCGGGCGGCGGGGGCTGTGTCCAGGCGGAAGTGACGGCCGCTTCACCTGCTGGGCGCTCAGGGGACAGAGGAGGGCGGCGCAAGGCGGAGGCTGTCCGTTGGGAGAGTCGCTCGTGAGGCGCTGGCATCTCTCTGGCCGTCGTCGGCTGCTGCCCCCGCTATGGAGTCGTTACTGGCGCCGCACTTGCTCTGGACTCTTCTGCTCTTGTGTTCAGGTAAAGGAGGAGGAGGAGGAGGAGGAGCGCGCGCGACACAAAACCGGGGACTGGGTCCGGCGCTGAGGGGAAAGAGCCGACCAACACCCGGGCGCGGCCACGCTGCTGTGCCGTACCGCCCGGACACCTCTCGCCTCCCTCCGGCTCCGCCGCGTCGCTGGCTCCGCAGCTGGGCTCCGGCAGCCGCCGAGCGCCGCTTTCGCGGAACAAAGAGTCCGCGGTGGGGGCGGGGGTGCCCGGCGCGCGGGGAGGGCGCTGGGCAGGTGGGAGTTGCGGGATACACTGGAGGGCTACTCAGCGAAACGTATATTGCCTCGCTCGAAAGTAAACCGCTTAAAAAACGAAAAAGAGAAAAAGGAAGAGTACGTTACCGGGCTGGGCTAGGGGAAGATATAATTGTGTCCGCTTGGTACTAAGTAAACTTCTTGATGAATCTCTACATAGTTTTTTTTTTCCTTCTTTTAAGGTGAAGCTCAACTTTAGCCACTCGCCCGTTTTCCCCATCCTTTTTCTGAGCCCTTTCCCTGGCGGGCGAAGGGGAGACAGGAGGCATCCTGGCCTCCCCGCCCCGCTCCGCTCCCACCCCCACCCTGCTGATTCACCCTGGCTGAGGTCGGGGCTTTGTTGCGTGAGCTGGGCTCGCTTAGCTGTCCTTCCCTACGCCCTGTAGCAAAGTCCTCCTCTCGTGAGCCACGCGAGATTCGTGTGTGTGAGAAAGAGGGAGATGAACGACAGCTTTTTTCTTTTTCTTTTTGGAAGGTGTATTTTCCCACGTTTTTCTTTCTGGAGGCAAAAGGGCTTCTCAGCTTTAACAAAACATACAAGAGACCCAGTGCCGGAGAAGGAAATTACCTGGCTCGGTGGGTACTGTCAGAAGATTCCAGACTCATTGTTTATATGGATCTTCGACAGTAGCAAAGCCAGAAGGGCTGCAATAGTAACAGGGGAGGAGCAAGGCCCTTTCAATATATTTGATCAGGGCAGTGGCATGGCCTTTTCTTCCCTCCCCTCTCGCGCCAGGTTCCAGCCCTTCTGGGGAAAGGAGCGACCACACATTATGGAAACCGCTTTAAAAACAACAAAACAGGGTACAACTCCCTTCAGTTTAGGACTGTCTTTAGCGTCTCTTCAGAATTTAACTACTTTCTTAAAAGAGCAGATGGAGAAGCTGGTTGAAACACTGGAAATAAAGTAATGGTATTAGTAGTTGCATTTAGGTTGCAGTCCTATACCCACTTACCTGTAAGTAGGTCTAACTGAAATAAATGGGGCTTACTTCAGAGTAGACATGTTGTGCTCTTAGATTAAGTCCATTCTGTTTTGAATAAACTGGTTTTACCATGTAAAATGTGCTTCTTAGCCCTGTACACTTAGATCTGCTTTGTGCAAAGTGATTTCCTATATGAAGAAGCTTTCAGGATAGGAACAATCTGCCAACTGTGCTGAAATAGACCCATGTCTATCACCTTTAGTTCAGTAGACAAAATTGACAGGACTGCTATTCTGTAGCCGAGTACTAGTAGTTGGCTGAAGGCTTAATTCTTTGTATCTCCAGTAGCAGAACTGGGAAAGCCCTTTTCCTGCCAGCTGGAGTGACAGCATGGGCTAATTTGAACAAACAGACAGTATTATGTTGATGCAAGAGTTCTTGCCTTAAGTGCATGCTGCAAAATACGTGTGCATTATGTTGCAGAGATAGTAGTGTAATGCTATTTGCCTAAATGGAAAGGAAGTCCCCATAAAACAATTGTGCTAGGTGGTCTTATTCCAGTGTGTCATTCTTGTGATAATCTAGAAATACTGCTTGGTATTCAATCTTTGAATATGATTAGTTGGTCTTTATGTTAAGCCCCTTCTTAAGTGGTTTGTCTGGCAAATGTTAAGACTCAGATGTTTTGTTGTGATAATTGTGTTTGTAGGTGCATTTGTAGGTGTTCTCCAATATGTATCTCCTTTGGCTGCTAACTTACAACAAGAAATTAAATTTTGAACTGGGTTTACTGTCTTTGCATGTGTACAAATGACATATTTATTGTGAGAGCTATCTTCATAAAACTGAATTAGTTAATGAGTATAATTAATTGTTGGAAAACTGTTCTTATTCTTTATTTCCTTCCCTCAAAACATACCTACTCAACTACATGCAATCAAATCCAATATATACAGCACCTGTGGGGTTAAGAGTTATGCAAAATAAAAGCTTTTCAGCAGTTTTCAGTTTTTTGTTTCCTGTTGAAATATCTAATGCCCTGACTGATGTCATGCTTGCTTTGGAACATTACTTATGGGGTAAAAAAATCTGGTCATTAAACAATTCTTTGAAGTGCATAGCAGTAGAAAAGGCTTTAACTTAAAATAATCAGGTACTAATAATTTACTGTTTGTAGTATTACAAGTGATTGTTGATTACAACCTTTTCCTGAGAAAACATTTTAACTTAGTTCAGATATCAACTATCATATTTTCATTTTTATCCAAGTTGTGAATTTCTAAAATGCAAAATAGCTAGTTTGATTAAGGAATTATCCCCAAATATTAGAGAATAGTTATTCCTCTTCAGAGAAATCTAGTTAGCTGATACTGCTCAACAAGTGCTTTTCTGAATGTTTTTTTTCTAACCTTGAAACAATGAGTGTAAATTATGGTACCAATACATTACAATACATACAATACATTAATCGATGTATTGGCTGATTGATTATGAACCCTTGGAACTGAAAACAGCATTGTATATTTGAAAGCTAAACAATTACTTGTAAGCACCAGATAGCATTCTTCAGGGACATCCAGTGGAAAAGGAGATAATTCACACCTCCTTTTCATCCCCATATGTTGCCCTTGCTACTTCTGAATTTTTGAAGCAGAGCAAAAGATCTGTCTAATCAAGCATTCTGTTTGCCTAGTGGCCAGTCAGATATCTTTGGGAAGCCTGCAAAACCATTAACATTTCCCAGCAACTGGCATGGGGTTGGGTGGAGGGCAAGGAGCAGGCAGTGCATTTCCTCACTAAATGGGGATGAAGGGCACAAGAGTATCTCCTAAGGAGGAGAGAAGTGCATACCTTGTAGTTTGCTGTCATGCTGCCTCCTTGTGACTTAAGCCACTATCAGTTGGGGATGATTTGATGTTGGACCTGATTGGCCAAGTGTGTATCATTTCTGCAGGGGAGAGGTTGACAGTTTATAGTACTAGACCAGGGGTCCTCAAACTTTTTCAACGGGGTCTAGTTGAAAAGTGCTGGCGGTGGGCATGGGCCTGCAAGGCGGTGCCAGCGGGGGGCGCGGGGCAGAGTGGGGTGAGTGCAGCAAGGTGGGGGCGGGGCGTATGGAGATAGTTTTCTCCCAGCGAGTCCAAAATGATACCTGTGCGAGCAAGCTACGCGTGCGTGGCAAGTCCAAAACCTCTGAGGCAGGCCAAATAAATGGGCATGGTGGACTGGATCCGGCCCGCGGACCATAGTTTGAGGACCCATGTACTAGGCAGTGCATACTAAAGAGTAGTTAATGACTAAAATGAATAGATGATCTCGGTTTTGACCTGTTTAGGCATTGCAGTGCAATTGAATTTGTACAATTCCTATTTTTCAAACTAAAATGTGTAAACAGAGTATGAGTAGCAGTGGTGTACTTTTTGTTCAAGTATATAGTAGTGATGAATTAAATTCTAATTGTGCTGAGATTGATACAAGTGTTCTCCTCAATGGGATCATCATTGTCCATAATTGTCAGTTGTAAAATAGATCCAGTATTATCATGTGTATCTTTTCTTTTACATATGTATATACAAAGTGTTTAGAGCTGTATTATGTTAGTTTGAAACTAGCATTGGATACCATAAACTGAGAATATTGTGCTATTACCACCTTACAGTTGGGAATATACAAGATATCCACTAACTATACACTAACAAGTTTTCAGATAATTTCAATCCATGTTAAAACAAGGAAGACTTTCTACAACACACTAAACTTTCCACTATCATGGCACTTATCTGCTAGGCTTAAACTTTGCTAACTCTCTGGTAGCTTCTTAATCAGTTTTGAATCTTGAATTAGTCTGTCGCATCAAAAACAAACAAAAGAGGTACCAAGACTTTGGGAGGGAGGCGATCTGGAGATCTCTTTAACTGGCTTGGTTTGTATGATATAGCACCCTTTATGTGGCTTGTTTAACCCCGGATGGGGCATGGTGGGTGCTCACTGCCAGTTTGAATATGAAACTCCCAAGTTGTGCCAACCATCAATTATTTGAAGGTTACTAAAATGAAGTAAAAATTTAAAAATAAAATATACACTTTTGCATAATCCACAATTTGTAGTAGAGCTTTGTAAGAGTTGTTAAACCTTCAAACAATCCATGATGACCAGGTTGGGGCTTGCATATTTCAAATGATGTGGCTTATCAGGAAATAAACAACCCACATTGAGTCTGATATGTCAAACAGTGCAGGCCTCTATATTAAACAAGCGGTACTTAATTAGATGCTTAATTTGGGAAATTTCACTTACCTTATTAAGAGTCTGAGTGGAGCTTAATATTGTAAGGGGAGTGTAGGGTTCTTAATTTCATTTTCTGCAACATTAAAGCAGTAGCAGATTTTACAGGAGAAGGCCTGTAAGAAGAGGTACCTAAGCCATCTATTACTTACTATTTTTTTCTGAAGTTGCTATTAATAATTATTGATTATTCTCCCCCACTTCCCCCTAGCTGGGTCCTTAGATAGCAAAGACCTTGTGAGAAAAACCAGAGAGAATGGAATTTGCAGGGTAGATTCTGTTGATCTATTTATTTAATATGCATGCGCACACCTACTTTTAAATAATTTTTTAAAAAGTGGTTTGCAGATAAAAACAGGAAACAGTTTTAAATAAAGCATACAATTTTAAGAATCTCTCTCTCTCTGTGTAAAACAATAAAATGTAAAATAAGAAGTATAGGCCAGTGTCAGTTAAAAATGGGGTGAAAAATCTAAGTTAAAGCCTATTTAAAAAAATAATTGGA